TTTTTTATAAATAAATTCTGATTTTGGGGGGTCCCCCTTCATATTTTTAACTGATAGGAAAGTGATAAGGAAGATGATGATCAAGTCAGTAACTTGGGACCACTTAGAAATCAGGATCCTGAGACAGCACACAGTAAAAGGAAATGCTTTACCTATTATTCTTTAATCCCTTATTCCACCATGGACAACAGAGTTGACTGCAATACATGCAGAAGGAAAAGTGATGACTTGCTCAGCTGCTCCCTGTACTCTGTATACAATACCTAGTTCATTCCCCAAGGCCACACGTCCTTAGGTAGCCACCCCAGCCCCTCGCCACTCCAACTTCCCTGGATGGGAGGGGTCAGATGACTTGGAACCCACTGCTCATTATCCTGATATCCAGATGGTTCATCAGATAGGTAGACGCCTTACTCTCTGTTTCCAAAATCTTTCTTGTCAGCCAACCAGGAGCTTCTGGTCATTTTCAGGCCGTCACATAACAGCCAACTAAAAATACCACCTTAGGCCTAGGTGTTTGTTTGAGAGACGGCTCTGGGTGCTCTTAACAGACTCCCATTTCACAGAAGATGTAACTCAGGATTTCAGGGCATCGCATGAGCTATCTGTTGGCATGAGGCTTAATAATGACTGACATATTTAAACTGTGATAAATTGGAGATTTAATGTTCTATTTCCATGCCATATTTCACTTTTTCTTTCCACTATAGCAGTGTTTTTTAAAGTGTAGTCTGGGAACTCCAGGGGGTCCCTGTGACCCTTTTAGGGGAGGGGATCACAAGGTCAAAACTGGTTCTTGATAATACTAACACATTTGCCTTTATCACTCTCATTTCCTCACAAGCATACCGTGGATACTGAGCCTTACAGCTTTTGCAATATTTAATATTCTTTTCTGATGAGATTGGTGGTGATAATATATGTGATTTTTAAATACTGTGTGTCAGTACTTGGGAGACCTGCATCACTTAGTGAACCACTAGTTCCAATGTAATGAATGCATGATGCTATAAATGATTAATGAGTTAGCGATCCTGGTGAAAACACCACAAGAGACTTTAAAGTAACGGAGTAGCAAGTTATTGACACAGTTTCAGATTCTACATTGTAACTAACCCTCAAAACTACCACTGCCCAGTTCAGGAATAGCAGCAAAGAAGAATATTCACAATTATCTTAAAAGATTATGAAAATAATCCTCCTTTCCTAACTATACCTGTAGAAAATCAGATTTTCTTCAAATACTTCAACAACAAAAAATATCGCAAGAGTGAATACAAAAGCATGTATGATACTCCAGCTGTTAAACCAGAGATTAAAGAGATTTGCAAAAATGTAAGTGGTACTACTTTTTTCCACTATTTTTTTTGTTCTGGAAAAGTTAATTTTTACAAAAATATGTGTAACTTGTATTAAACATATAATCAATTTATCATTATTATTTTTAAATAAATCAGTAAATAGTTTTAAATTTCTTAATTTAACTTCTAATATGATGAAAGCACATTTTAAAAAACTCTCTGGGGTTCTCAATAATTTTTAAAACACAACAGAGTCCTAATACCAAAAAGGAGAGAAATGCTGTAATACAGTAGTTAAAATATTTTGCAAAAATGGGCTCAACCTAATATTTATAAAGTGGCCTAAGCCCTAAAAACACAGCAGTAATTTTATAGGGAAATGGGCAGGAGACAGGCTGGGCAGATGCCTCCAGAGGATGTCAGAAGACCTGGCAGTAAAGAACACTGACTGACACTTGAGCTGTGCTGTGGGACAACTGATGCCACATTCATTGGTGGGCCCCCAGGAGAGACGGCCACGCACGTGTGGAGGTGAGTGAGGAGGGGATGGCTACAGGCTGTAGTGATTAGGGGCACTCACATTTACGAGCAACATAACGTTAGACAAGTTAGTTAATCTCTCCAGGCCTCAGTTTCCTCAGTCATTCTTCCAGATAAAATCCGAGACACTGCAGGAGAGTCCTGGGACAAAGACTGTTACTGCAGGTAGGATTTCTAATCAAGTCCTGGCAGTCAGCCATGGTCTCTAGAAATCTAGTGATACAATTGTTTTTAGATGGGGAAATAAGAGGAAGTGAATATTTTCATGCAAAGCAGGATATCTCAGAAGCCCAGATTTATGCTCTGAGCCATGGAGCAATCAGTGCAAGTCTGTACTAAAGTGTTTAGATTATCAGAGACCATTCATTAGCAATGTGTTCATTACACTAAGGTATTCATTGACCAGGTCAGTGACGGTTCCAAAGACAAGGGCTGGATTACAGCAGGGCCACAATCGAACTTTTCCCCAAAAGAGGCTGAACTAGGAGAAAGGTGAGATGAAGGTGGGTGAGACAGATGGCTCCAGGCCAAGTCCCAGATGGGTTAAATCAGTTTTATAAAAGTCATTATTTATTTGTCCAACAAATATCTGAATGCCAGCCATGTGCAAAGAAGCAGACCTTGATGTTGAGACTTTGAGAAGAGGATAAGAACATAAGAAAAAATAGTGCCCCAGACAGTAAAGAGGTATGTATAAAACATAGTGAAAAGATGAAACAATTTCCAGTTGGGTGTGGAATGGGGGAGGTCAGGGAAGGTTTCCTGAGAAAAGAATGTGGAGAATAAGTATGATGTAGACTCAGCGATGGGAAAATAGGAGTGCTTCTGGAGCAAAACAGAGCATAGAAAACAAACGTCAAATACGAGAAGCCTCTAGGAGTGCATTCGGATTAAGAATAGGGTGCTCGAGGGGACACGTGCCTGGAGACTGAACAGGCAGGCTGCATCCAGGGGAAGGGGACGTGCTATAAATTCCATGCTAAAGGGATGGGACTTCATTAGAAAATGAGAGTAAATCTGATTAGGGGAATACTCCCTCCCATTTTTCTTAAAAACTATTCCAAACTGTCAACATTTTTTAAAAAAATCCCTACGCAACCTCTCATTTCCTTCAATAAGATTTTAAATTCCCTACATTATTAAAAACTTCCTATGCTCTATCTATAAACATATCCATGCCCACCCTTCTCTGCTTTCTCAGTGTTTTAGGGGACAAGGTGCCCCTTTCCTGTTAGACACTACATCTTCTAAGACTGTGCTCTATTTTCTATTCTACCCCATATTCTAGCTCCATCTCACCTTCTGGGTTCCCCCCCGCCCCCAGATTATAAAAATGCTTATTTTCATCCATATTCTTTAAATAAGCTTGAGTGAGAAGTCTACACTCCTTGTTCCCACTTCCCAACCAATATGGCATCCATCCTTACCCGGTATAAAAGCGTGTTTTTAAAGTTCTCAGTGAAGTAGATTGTCAATCAACAAATATTTCCAATTCTGATCTCACAAAGCATCTCTGTAAAATTCCAATCTATTAATCACCCCCCAGCCTTCTCCAACTCTTGTGTTCTCTCAGCTTCACTGCACTCTTGGCCATCAGACCCTCTAATGGCCACCCATTTACTTTCCTTCATGAGCTCCATCTCCGATGCCCACGAACACCAGTGGCTGTGTCCTTGGCCCACTGTTCTTTCCCACTGGACACCATAACTTTGACTAATTTCATCAAGTTGCATGATTTCAATAGTCACCTCTCATCTCAGGACCTCTTCTATGAGCTATCAATTCACTATACCTGTGTTGAAAAGACCCCTCTACTTGCGCATTCAACAAATAATTCAACTTGGTATATCCAAACTGGAATATGCTTTTTTTCAAATACTCTTTCTTCAGTCTAACTGCTCCCTCACCAACACACATACACACACACACACACACACACACACACACTATTCGACCAATTGCAATTTATCCTTTATCCTCCCCAGAAAATCTTGGCTGAACCTACAGGTTGGCATAGATCTGTGCCCTCCAAAACAACCCAGTATATGTCAACTATGAAATAATGCTGTCGATGCTATTATATAATTAATTTTTAAATGTATCTGGCTGTTCCACTACACTGTAAGCTCTCTAGGACAGGGATGGCATTTTAATCATCTTTTAATCTTCAGGACCTAGCAATCCTTCTTCGCCCATGGTAGGCACTCTGTAACTGCTTGGTGATCAATGATGACCTGCTAATAGCTTATAAACATAGAGGAGCGGGAGAAGGACCAGAGGAAGTGCACTAAAGTGGGTAACTGCAGAAGAACAAACTAATACAAAAATTCGAACAAAGGCAGGATTAATAAGAATAGAAAGAAGGGGATGGACACAAGAGATTTTGCTATGACACAATGAATAGGACTAGCAAAAGAAGGAACTGGGAAGCAAGAGGTACAAAAAAGAAAGACAGAAATCATCCCTGGGAAACGAGAGAATACAATGGATATGATGCCATCACCAAAAACTGTGATCTAGTCTACCTTACAAACTTTTCAGTGTTTCTTTAAAATGGGGAATTAAATGGCCTAAGAATTAGATTTTGGTGGTGGTCTTTGAAATCCAAAAATATCTTTTATGTGATGATAGTTATAGCAATAGAATTCTCAACAATTATCCATAAGTCCTCCCACTCTTTTTCTCTTAGTTTCTCCATTTATCAAAGTTGGGTAAATTTATCAGCATGACACTATATATCTAGAATAATTACTAGAACTTGCCACACTCAAATAAGGTGACCTAAAGAATTTTATCTCTTTTTAAAAAATCTACAGTTGTTTGTGCTAAGTTCTGATGTCAGATGCTAAGAGGAGAAAACGTCTTGTTAATGTTTCAGAATATAAGCTTACTGGCGAGACAGACTTTACTGCCGAAGCAAGTCTGCCACAGGTCATCACATCTCCCTAGGGCTGGCTTTAGAGCAGAGGATGGTCCTAATATACCAGGAATATTTAGTTCTTTCTACAGAAGAACAATATGGAACATGGAACATGGAAGGGCAGGTCTGAGGATGCAGGGATGGGTCTGGAAAATGTAAAGCCAAAGGGGAATAAGAGAATCAAGTGATTAGGAAAACCAGAATTTCTTAGACTATTTGACCCAGTGCAAAGAGTTTACCTGATTCATGATGGAAAATTTCCTCCCTATTCTGTTGTCTGGCAGCCGAAAGCCTTTCCTCCTCATGCCATCTTCTGACTCTGACTTAAACACCTTCTCAGGATCCCCTTTCTCCTCTCCTTCAGAGAGTTCCTTTTGCTTCCTCTTCTTTCTCCTGTTACGTCTTTCCTTAGCACTCTTGGAACTGAGTTTAGAAATTTCAGATGAGCTCCGAGGGGAACCTCCCCCTTCTTCACCTTCTTCCTCTATGGCATCCTCTGAGACAGTTCCCGCTGAGGTGGCCATCGCAGCAGCCTAGGAGAGGAGCCACAGAGCAACAGACCAGGTCAGAAGCAATTACCCCAAGTCACCCAAAGTCAAGCAACGAGTGCTGATCAGTTCCTTTCCCTCAGACAGGGAAAGGAGGGAATAAAGGAGGAAGGAGAACCGGCAGTCAGGAGACTGTGGCCAGGGCCGGCCATCCCTATGTTCTAGCTGAATCTGTACTGTGGCACATAGCACTGAGTCATCAGAGCAGAACCCAGGGGTGAGGCTTTGGGGTTTATTCTCCTGAGTATCTCAGATACGAACCTGGCTGCCTTCTTTGAACCACACTGACTTTTCTGGACAACTCTGAAAATGAATGCTAAGAACTACTTAGGACATGTATTACAGGAAATGAAACTGTATTATACATATGGGCCTGATAATGTAAAAATACATGTATATTTGGATAAAGATTAGAAAGTGTTAAGGTGGTAGATTATAAATTTGTTTTTCAAACTTCACTTTAGTATTTTACCTATATCTTATTTTTAATTACAATCAATACTTTTTTAAGACCGCAGAGAATCTCTGAAGGAGACTGTAATGTTTTCCTCAACAAAAAGGTTATGCTTACACGAAGCTCTGTATAAACCGCTCTGGACACTGTTTCTTCTCCTCAGCCATCATGCCAGTTGAACGCAGAACAGTGGAGAAATTCAACCAAAGAACATATTGACAATTTGGCCATTAGATAAATGGGATAATTGAACCAACCACGACCAGTTGTTAATTAGGTATTTTGATCAGATCAATACCTTCTCTTTGACAATATGCCTAGAAGAGAGCAACTGGAGTGGCAACCAGGTGGGGGCCCACTCACAGTGATCGGGCAGGCAGGACTGCTGCAAAGAACTGATCACCCACCTGTGCCTCTTCCTGTTGCTTCTTAAGTTGCTCCAACATCGCTTTGAATTCAGCCTCTTTTTGCTCTGCCTCCTCCAGTGTTGCCTGATTCTGCTCTTCATAAGCCATGGCCACCACAGCCAAGATCAAGTTCACCAGATAGAAGGAACCCACAAAAATGACTAAGACAAAGAAGATCATGTAGGTTTTCCCAGCTGCTCGTAAGGTCTGCAGAGAAAAGGACCATTTTCTGAGTCCCTTGAATCAAATATACGAGGCTGAAAACGACTCGTGGGCCAGTGTTCCCTGCAGGGGCTCTACTTCATTTTGAATGAGACAGTCTTTCACCACGTGGCACCCCTTCACACTGCAAAGCACTTCTCACGCCCGAAGGCTGAGGGCTTCCCGTATCCTCGACTCACAGGAAATATCAGTAGTATCTCCCATTCACTGTGGCAAAATAAGTCCTTTTCGATTTGCAAATACTCCTAATATAGTCCTTTCATAGAAAAATGCTTGATTCTTTTAAAGGAAAAAATTCCCTGGGCTAAGAATTATATTAGACTTTGTCAGTTGGTTCTAAAACAAGTACAAGAAAAGAATAAAAAATTTTAGCTCATTTATCTACTGGTCCTTAAAGAGCATTAACAGATAAATTCCATCTCTGGGATGGGGTCCAAGTCATAGTAAGTCCCCATCTTGAGTGACAGCCTTCCTTCTTCTTTTGTAATAGCATGTGTTTTGGAAGAATACGACATAAAGGACAGTGGGAAAACAGAAAAAGGCAGAGGATCCTAGAACTGTTCTTTCACTAACAGCGAGCAAATAGACATCCAAGAACAGTTGGGTTTTAGGTTATGTGTATGTGACCCACTATCACTTAGTTTTCATCTTTGGTCTTTTCAACTACAAATATTTTACATTAGTCATAAATATTTCATAAGAAAGTTTCAAATCCGAGGGAACTCTAGGCTGTCCAACAGAAAGTAAGAACTCCTTAGGGAATCTCATTAGACACTTCCTTTAAAGAGGTTTCTTCACGCCTGAGGGGACATGTTTCTCATTCTCAAACTAAATGGCATCATCTAATGCCAAAGTTGAATAGAAAACAATGAATGGGGATAAAATTTTTAAGCTGGAAGACCCTCCGCAATCACCTACACTAACCTCTCCATCACAACAAGCAAAGTTAAAGGACTCGCCCAGAGTCACCAATGCAGCTCAATAGAATGGTACTGACCATTTAAAAAAATCAGTCACAACCTGCTTGAACAAGTCCAAACATGTTACAAATCTCAAAAATGTTGATATGTTTAGACTCAAGGTCCTTGTGGATAGAAATGTAATTTTTATAATGTCTAGCATTAATGCCTTTCACACCATGTTTAATTAATAGTTCTTAAAAAGATGCCCTAAGCCCCCAAACTCAAAAGCAGAAATACAGCACTGCCGATGGTTTGGTGAAACAATCGAGGGCAGGTAGAGACAGCAGGTTCCCAGGCCCGGCAAGAGGCTGTGGACCTCTATAGCTACACATGACTGAGCATTAGATAAACGGGGACAAGAGAGGAAAGAATTCACTTCATGTTGTAACCAGAGAAATACCATTCTAAGATGCCTGTATGATGTCTTTACAAAAAATCTCTTACTCAGAAAGTGCCCAAACACACATTTCCTCATGCAAATTCTATCACCAAAGAAAAAGAGGCAGCACTTGAAAAAGGGGTACTACTTACCAACTGATACAAGTTCTCCCAATAGTCCTGGGTCATAAGGCGAAATAATGCCAAGAAGGCCCAGCTGAAAGTGTCAAAGCTTGTGTAACCGTAGTTGGGGTTCCTTCCTGCTTTCATGCACTGGTATCCCTCTGGGCATTGCCTGAGGAAAGAAAGAGAAGTTCTGGGCTTTTCAACACAATCCTACTGCATCAGCTGCAAGTCATCTCTATGACCTTGGAGATAATAAACATCATATAGAGCCAGGCCAACAAATGGGGATGAAGAAGAAGAAGAAGGAAGAGGAGGAGGAATAGGAAGGAGAAAGAGAAGAAGAGGAAAAAGAGGAAAGAAACAAAGTAGGCAAGTCAATTTTTAAAGAAAATACCTTAGACCCAATATGTTAGATCCAATTAGAGTCTAGTATATTAGCACAGAGAAAAGTGAAAATATTGCCATCTTTATCTGAAACATTATTTTAAGGGAGGAGAATAAAATTAGGTGAGCTACTTACCCAGCATCAGAACTGTTCCCACAGAGTAGAGGTTCTAGCATGCCAGGAACTGTGTAAAAATTTGCTAGAAAAGTTTGAAGAGGCAGGAGATGAATAAGGCAGATTTAAGTGAATGAGAGAATAAGGTCACATGGTTCCTAACTAGTCCCAGCAGAAACGGTTACTGATTTTAGTTCATATAAATCTTTTCTGACATCCATGAATCCTGATAAAAATTCTTTCCCATCATTTTGCTATATATATTTAAAAATTAAAAGTGCTACCGTAAAGCCCTTAATGCAATGTCATTTTCACAGACATTTTCAACTGGTACGTCGGATCTGTATGCCAGGTTCTGGTACTTGAATCAAAGGGGCCTAGGAGAGTTTCCTGATTCTTTAACCCTTTATACAGCTTTATCCTTCTACCTTATAACTTCTCTTCAACACAGATAAACTAGACATCCTCACTGATCACTAGTTACCATGTCCTATATTAAATTGGAAGGCATGTCTCCCTTAACTGTGTCCCTGAAACCCACTTTGCAACATTTTCTTATGGCTACTTACCTGCCTTTATTTCCTCAAGAGTGACTAACAGTGATATTAACTCTTTCCCATTACTTTATAGAAGTACTACTACACCAGCTGTTCCTTAGTGTAAGACCCAAGTGCTTTGGTTCCTGAAATGAAATTATTCAAACTCCTTAACTGTAATAGGATCACATGGTGCCTTAGAGATTACCTGACGCCCTAGACCAGACTGATTACTGAGGTCTTGCACAACAGAATTAGGCAGGTTTGTGAGATATGCTCCAAATGTTTAGATATCTCCAGTAACCCAGCTAGGGGAAAAAAGGATTTCTATCAAGCTACTAAGCCTGATTCCCAAAGCAAAAGTTTAGGGCTACATGTGACAAAGCATTTCATTTTAGGTCTTAAAGCTAGAGAAGGGGGTGGGAAAGGGCTGATATTCGAGAGCTTCTGAACACAGTCCTGCCTCAGAGAAAGGGGGTAACTCCACAAGGCTACTTTTAGTAGCACTGGCATCCCTTTCTAAGCCAACTACTTTTTAAAGCCCAGTGATAGCTTCTGACCACGTAAACTAGAGACAGATTTTTCTTTCTCCTCTTGCAGGGAAGGGGCCACCTACTTTTATTGTTGATATATTCTTCCCAATCAAAGCCTCTGGTGCCATTTTCAAGATAGCTCTCATTGAAGTTTATGGGCCACACAACACACTTGTTTCGCAGGTTCCCCATGAACAGCTGCAGCCCGATCAAGGCGAAAACACTCAGGCAGAACACTGTCAGGATCATCACATCCGACAGCTTCTTCACGGACTGAATTAGGGCACCCACAATGGTCTTCAGGCCTGAGGAGATAGAACCCCCAGAATCAGAGTCACCCCATAGCCCTCCCCACCTCCCCCAGGCCCCTTTTAGCTCCTGGCTTCTACTCCTCCCCATAGCAACACCCTTGAAACAAGGCCCTGTTATCTTTTCCACCACGGGAATAACAAAGGTGATAATGTCAGCAATATTATCACTTTTCCCAGAAGTGCCCATTTTTAAGCCACTAATTTTTAAAAAGAAGAAAAAAGTTCCTTCTCCAGCTTGTGGCTTTTCTTCCTGCAAGGGCTTTCCTGTCTCTGACTGCTTCTCAGCTCCAGCAGGAGTCGAACTTTTACTCGCCTCGGGCCTCCATGTTATGTGCTGGTCCCTCTGCCCGGAAGCTCCTTTCACGTCCCTCTTCCTCCACGTCTAACTCCTATTTATCCTCTGGTCTCAGCTTCAATACCAACTCCCCCAGAAAGCCTTTCCTGACTTTACAACTCTTTCCCTCCCCCATTAGTATTAATATTTTAGTAGCACGTCACACTTTCCTCTGTGGCATTTGTCGTGGTTCTAACTAACCGTGTGAGTCTTGCTCACAGCTGTACCTATAGTTCCTAGCCCACAGCAGGTACTCATTAAATATTAGCTGAATAAACAAATGGAAAACCCAGGAACTGAGGAGGCTTCCAGGTTGGAAAAAGAACTACTGGACGTTTAAAAACCAAAAATAAGTGAGAAGGTACAACAATATTTTCCTAAGAGCTCTGGAAATGCCAATGTGTTGAAAAGGTTTATTACCAATTGAGTATTTATGGTTTGTCTTTCCATTTAAAAATATACCTTTTCTGCATCACATATATTCTCTACAACTGACCTTTAGCTGTCCTAGATTAAAAACAAAATAAAAATATATAACCTCTTGAATTTGACGTTTAAATGCAAGCCACTGGTTCTGATTTGAACCTGTAGGTAGGCTTCTTAGCTGTACTGGGAGAGGTCAGTGATAGGAGACACAGAGAAACACGGCTGTGGGTTCGTGATGTCTGGGTTGACACTGAGTCTGCCTGGCTCTCCCGGGCGTTCCCAGACACCGGGGCACCCACAGGACGTGGCCGGCACAGTGCTGAGCACTCCCGGGTGCCAGTGCACCAGGACGGGCAGGGGGTCACACGGAGCCTCGACAGGGATCTCATCTCCGATCTACTTCTGAAGGCAAGAATATTGGGTGGAAGTACAAGGGAAATCTCTATCCTGGCTTTGAAGTGTGAGGCTGGGTATATAATTACTAATTTTAACCAAGTTATACCACTTACGTGTATGACCTGAGCAATACATTTAACCTTCAGGAATATCAGATTTTTCATTATTAAAATGGGGATAATTATGGTTGAATATCATAGTACTGATTTGAGAATTAAGCATGATCATATAAATACTTAACATAGCCCTTGGTACATAATACATGACTCAAATGTTAACCAGTTTTGTCTGAACCTCAGCTCATTCATCTATAAAAAAAGTGTTTATACTACCAACCTCAGTGGGTCGTTGTGAGGTTTAAATTAAGATAATAAATGCAAAATATCAATTATATTACCTGGTACTTAACACTTGCAGCTCTCCCTCCTCAAAGAGATGTATGTGATTAGGATAATGACAATGATGATCTAATGGGTGATGTAACATGACTCTGCTTTTGCCAGTAACTACCTAGAGTTTTCAAAGTTGAGTCAAATGGAATTTTCTATCTGAGTCCAACAGTAGTGATGGGCCTGGCACAAAGTAGGCACTTAATATATTTTCATCAAAAGAGTAAATGAATAAGAAACTTTCTTTTCTCTCCCATGGACATCCTGAAAGGGATCTAAGAGAAGTTAAGCCAAGAGTTAGACTAGAGATGTACCGTGTGCCGGGCCCTGTGCTTCCTTGCCCTGCGCTTTCTCACAGGGCGGGCCATCCACATGGCCACCAGAGAGATGAGAAGGAGCTTGCCTGGGGTACAGGGTATTTCTAATCGGATTCCTTTCTCCTCACAGGCTGTGCAAAAAGAACACCAGACGGGACCAGAAAGCAGGAATTCAGGCCCCGGCTCAGCCAAGATTTGTGACCCACCAAGTTTCAGAAGAAATTTAAAGTCGCCTTTCAGTCTTGTTTTCTCACACACAGTGTGGATAAACACAGGGACACATGACACTGGGCAGTGGAGGAGAAGCTGAAGAGTCTTCTCTGGAAGTCTTTTAAAATAGGACAGAGATATTTGTTTGAGGTTAAGTAGTCAAAATTTCAATCTTCTATTCCCACAGTCCTGGGAAACTGTGTCATACGACAGCACTAAGTTAGAGGGTTCGGGTGGTGTAAAACAGAAGGCAGCCATAAGGAAGTAAAAGTCGTTCCAGTGTCATGGAACTTATTTCCACAAGCTTCTGAGGAACAGAAAAGTCCTTCATCACATTTGGCTGGGTTGGGGCAGGTTTATACTAAGTCAATAATTCAATTCTAGGCTCCTAAAATTATATGGTTTTCAGAGTCAAAGACTGATTTAAAACAAGAATAAATGAATGCGTCAGTGAAGAGTGGTTGTAAAGTTTCTTTTCCTGGACTTCTTTATGAAGTGTTTATATAGCTGTTTCTCCTGAATGGTTCAGACAATTACCCAACCAAACACCAGATGATCTTTTCTTTTTCTATTTTAAAGAAATTGAGAAATAAGCTGTAAGCTGCCATTTGTACAGGTAACAAGTGTACAGTAATGCAAAATAGTCAAACTAATGCTTTTGTCATATAAATAGATAAATTGGAAAAAACGTACACTTTTAGCTGGAGTCTAATCTGCTTTTCCCAGGCCGGGAGCACTCCCCTAACCCCCGACAGTTCCGTCCCAGCCCGTGTAGCAGGAAATCCCTGGCTCAGACTAGCCCCTGTTACATGCGGGTGGGCTCCCAGCAACCTTGTTGTAGGAAGTGAACTCTCTTACTAGTTTATGAACGACAGAGTAGACGTCTGACTTAAATTCAGATCCTTTCCTCCTGGACAAGAGACAGTCCAGTAGTCTTTTCATGTGGTAGGAATGATAATATATAAATTTGGGAGCTAAGTGGTAGCGGTGTTCTGTCATTATAGCAGGGTACATCTGAGAAGTAAAGGTAGTTATTATGCTAAGAGATGGAATAAGGAAATAGACACATGGAGAGAAGAGAGAGGAAGACAAAGCCCTTCCTGGGATCTGGGGCATTCTGGATCTACGTTCTGGTTTCACTGGCTTCCAAAAGCCCAAAACACAGCAGCTATTAGATTTCTTATCTCCTGTGTCTTGCAACCAGAGATGCTCAACTAACATACTGACCATACACAGAACTATCCCTTTCCTGGGGATGGACCTGAACAGTCGCAGTCAGCTGGTTCAATAGCTCTTCTCCACAAACCAGATGTCACCGCTAAAGAAGTCTGTAAACATGAGTCCAGAAAGGTTAAAAAAATTAAAATGTGTATTTGGAAATCTAAGACTTAGATCAATTCCCTGGAGAGAGATCTTTCAGCTTTCAAGTTTCAAGTTGAAACCTAGGGCTAGAAATTATATTCAGCTACTTATACTTTAGAGGGGCTCAGAGAAACAAATCTTAATTAAGCATGAATAAGCACTAAATAACATTAACTATATGACCATCTATAAAGTTTACTCTCCAAGATTCTCATCCAGATCGTTAGGAGAAAATTAGAGGAAAGTACAGAAGAAAAAAGGTGATGTGGATCAATGTTTGCAGGTCCAGGCTAACACTCGATTACCCAGCAACAGTAAATATAAACGGTCACTGGCCTCAGCCAAGACGCGTCTTCCTTCCCTTGGGGTTGACAGCTGTAAACAACCGTGTGTGCAGCCACCAGTGCCAGTTTATGGAGTTGACACCATCAATGCATTTCTTAAACTCAAGTCTTGTCAGCAGTGGCTGCCACGTACCAGGAAATGCAACCGAGGAAAAGTGCTCCCTGCTACCACCAACGCCAGTCAGTCAATGAGGGCGAGAAGCTGCCGGCAGAATTCCTGACAGGATAATGTGCAGGAATGCAGAATGGCACTGCTCTGTCAGTGAAGACCAGCTGTCTTGCTTCTTCCACTGGCTCATAACATCACATACCAGACAGAACAAGCAAGAGACTGAAAACGGATTATCCCAAACAGAGCAGAATGCTCTTTCAAATGACTCCTACTCAACAGAGTGTGCAGCAGAAGCCACGTGGGGGCAAATTGGACAGCAAGAACTCTTGGAAGAGGCTAACATTAACTAGCATGAGGATGTCTGAGCAGTGAATATAATTACTACAGATCAAGGAAAGACAGCGGGACCCAGTGTACAGAAAGGTCAACTACCTGAGAGGAAGTCAGATATTTAATGAGTTTTGAGAAGCAGGTGAAGGCCTACAATCTCTTGAACAAATGAATAAAGCCTGATTATGTGCTACGTCCAGGGAAATCAGCCATGTGCACTGGGATCAAAATCTTCTGCCAAGGTGGTGATGCCAGATTATAGATAAAGTAAATTTCTATTTCCTAGTATGTGGCGCAGGTTGAGAAATCTAACTGGTCTGAAGGAACATGAGCTAAAACTCCCACAAAATTAACATTGAAACAGGCATCAAGAGCAGTGGCAAGCCGTGCCCACCCCAGAGGTAAGAAAAGTTCCCCAATTCCCAAAGTCTAGTTGGATCCAGATAAATGCTAGGAATAAAGCCATGCAGGTCAACTGTCCTGGTGCAGATTAAATCCTCACAAGGATAGTTCTGTTTGTTTTTTTTTAAAGACTTTACTTATTTGAGAGACGGGAAGGGAAGGAGAAAGACAGGGAGACAAACATCAGTCAGTTGCCTCTCACAAGCCCCCAAATGAGGACCTGGCCTGCAGCCCATGCATGTGCCCAGACTGGGAATTGAACCAGTGACCTTTTGGTTTGTGGGACAATGCCCAACCCACTGAGCTAGACCAGTCAGAGCCACAGGATAGCTCTTAAAGATTCTTCAGAGCAAGAGTAATTTGGGAGAGACTTGGAGGCCACAGATTTATTTACTGAAGACTAGATTCAAGTTACAAAGTCTGACAAAAACGGAATCAGCCCTCAAAAGTAGGCCAAAGTGGCATCCTGTGAATCTTGTGTTTTTCCACTTAGGACCATTATGTTAAACTTTGGTTAAATTTTAGTTATCTTTTCTGAGAAAGCAATGTGGACAAAGGAGAAATACAAAACCAAGTAGATTAATAAGTAGAATATTTTAAAAGAAACAATGAACTTGAATATAGCCCTAAAACACTTTCTATCTCCCTTCACTAAAAACTGTTGTATTCATATTATATACATTTAAAGAAAATGCTTTCTTAAGTGCAAATACTGGGGTGGGAAGGAAAAGCCTGTCATTCTCCCTGCTTCCTACCTGATCCCACAGGTAAAGAGAGAAAGTAACAGAAATGAAAGCAGAGAAATAAAACAACCCAAGGGAAAAGTAATCAAGAAATCTCAACTCTAAAGAAACAAATTGATATTAAATCCATGCTGACAAACAGAGAAGACATGTGCTTTGGGGGAACCATTTAAATGATGGAAATGAAAAGGAACTGGTAAGGGAAGTCCCCTTGGCTGGTTTTATTAACACCATTAAGTGATACCACCTAAGAAAAACCCAGACACCTGCTTGGGGGTTGCTGCCCTACAGCTGGGCCGGCAGGCCAGTGGCACACGGTCAGAGCATGCAAAAGATGAAATCTCTAACAAAGTCACTTGGAAGTTCATTTTTGTGCCCAGGTTCTAGTTAAATACAAAATGAAAACTAGCTTTTAAGACATACAAATTTCTATACAAAATACTTCAATGTCAAGTTGAATCTGGCAAATTACAGACCAAAGAAAATTTAGAAGGTACAAAGAGCCAACTCACTCCTAAACTGTTCCCACGAGGTCCCCACATAAGGTGAATGTGACAGATCCATGGCTCTCAGAGCCTAAACCCATTTCTAGTTAGACATGCCCTGCTCTTTGGTTCAATTGTTGATTTAGCCCTGTCTGGTGTGGCTCAGTGGACTGAGTGCCAGCCTGCTAACCACAAGGTCACTGGTTTGATTCCCAGTCAGGGCACATGCCTGGGTTGCGGGCCAGGTCCCCAGTTGGGAGCAGACGAGAGACAACTGATGTATCTCCCACACACTGATGTTTCTCTCTCTCTCTTTCTCCCTCCCTTTTCCTTTCTAAGAATAAATAAAATCTTAAAAAAAAAAAGAAAATTTAGAAAGGATCTCCTGAAGTTTTAGCATAGAGTTTACATGCATTGTTCTCCAAGTCAAGTCCTTTAAAGCCAAATGGAAACCATGAATAACACATACCCAGGTCTTGAGTTAGCAAATAAAAAGGGTGGGAAGGTGGGTTTGGCCTTTTCTAAGCTAAAAGTCAGCTCTAAATTACAGCTTCTCTTATACAAAAGGCTGGAGCTCACTGATGCACTGTATTCTCCAATCCTTTGGAAGTCCTAGCAGCCCTGAAACATTCAGAGTATCTACCAAAGATGCTAAGAGGGAGGACAGCATCAGCCCAGGTAAGCTGGGTGAGTGCTTCTAAGAAAGAGAAGATGCTCATAAAGGAAGCTGAGGCCCAGGAGAGCTTTGTGAGACCTTACAGGCCCTATGTCAGTTCTGTTGTTGACCTCACTTCTGTCCATGGCAGCTTTGGCAAAAACCTATATTCAAAGTAAGAAGAGGAGAAGGTAAAGAGAGCAACAACCTCATTGAAGTGATCCGTGACAAAACTTGGTATGGAAAACAACAGTTTTTACAAAGAGGGAACTGTATCTCAGCTCTGCAGCAGTGGAGCTGAAATGACTTAGATTTCCAATCAAGAGACGGGCTGGGTCTACTGACGCATGCACTGGTGCTCCCGCCTTGGAAGGTGACCTGGGTAACAGGCATGTAGGAACAGGGCTACAGCCCTCTATGGGAGAAAGCACAATTGGCAAGTTCCAGTTTTTATATGGGATGACAGAAGTCTCTCATGAGGGAGACATCATTTACAAAACAAGGGAGTACTCTGATTTCTCTTACTAACTCTAAGTAGAATGGGGGACAAAAAGAATTTAGAATTAAAAGTCATACTTTAATTCAAATATTGGTTATACCATTCACTGACAGTGAACTGGTATTGGCTTTATTATCCCCTATAAATTACTTTCCATCCCAGTTAACCCCCCAAAGCCAGCACATCTGGGGTGCTTTTAGAAATAGGAATCCAAAAATCTATTTCAAATTGTGCAGCTGATGTCTAAACCTTGATACAAACCCTTTCTTTGGGTTTAGGCTTCTTTTTCATAATAACTGCAATGACTACAATCACGTGTGGCGCATGCAATGGGCCAGGACCTGTGTGCGCGAAGCACCGGAGTATTAAGGATGAGCAAAGTGATATCAGTCAAGAGCTCTCTTGCAGTAATGCTGTCGTCAGAAGTTAACCATATAGCACAAAGACAGAAGCTAAAAGCTAGACCAGAGATAGCAGCTGCTGCCCTAGTTAGTGAACAGAACACAGCTTTCCAATTTAGTTCTGGAAGAGAAGTTTTGAGATCACAAGAACATAAAGAGACAGATGCCTTGTGGAGTACGCTGGGGGAAGTGAGCAGAAAACACAGGATCATATTTAAAAGGAGGCCAGAGGAGGAAAGAGACCAAAGGAAAAATAAAGGTGAAGACCTGGTGCTCCAGATGCCTTACAAAATAAGACGAGGCCCCCTAAGCAGTGAATGAGCTGTGTGAGGCTGCCTGGAAAGTGAGCTAGACTTTCTGTCAAATGGGTTTAAAATGACTCAGAACTAAACTTGGATAAGTCAGGGCTGTAGTTTTTTGCCAAGAAGGACATACTCCAACTGACACCCAAACTCTGGTTGAAAAAGAGCAAGCTGCCATTGCTTAACATAAAGGGATTCATTTTTAGGAGGACTCATTACTAGACAAATTCATGGCCCAAATCTATAAATGGAGAATTGGGGTTTACCTTCCTTGGGGTTCTTGCTAAACCACATTCTAAGTCTGTCCTCTCTAGGAGTCATCGTTTGTGTAACCTTCGGATACCTCCTATTTAGATGATGTTAAAAAGGGGGAAAGAGAGATGCTTCTGAGTCAGCCACAGCGGAAGAACCATGTGCTACCAGGGACGGGATGCCTCTGTTCTTCACGTCTGTGTTTTCACAAACGTGCAGTGGAAAGTCTGGTCTGTTCCGTGAACACCCTCGAACACAACCGAAGTCCAATTGGCGACAACATAGTCTCAGCTTCTGCCACGTTACTGTCAGTGTGTCCTAGGCCAAGACTAATGAAAATATCTTTCCTACTACACATCAAGACTGGTCTTTAAAACACAGTTCAGTATTACCAGGTAGCAAACTGGTCTTTAAAACGGTAGTTCAGTATTACTAGGTAGCAAGGATTTAAACTAAATTAAGGGATCTTAACCTGGGGTCCACAGGTGGGCTTCAGGGGGGTCTGTGAACCTTGATCCGATTCTCAAAAGGATCCAAAACCTTCAAAAGGTTAAGAACTACCTGGGCTAGGTCAACCAGGACCAAAAAAGAAAAAGGAAAACATTTTAAAGAGATTGTCAATCAACTACCTTTCAACCACCCACTGATTCCTTTTTTTCCCTTCTCAAATTTCTGTACTTTTTGTTTGCCCATACCTTCAGATGAATTTTATCTTACCTTTGATTTTTTTTAAAAACAGCACCTGCATAAGCTTTCATTGGGATTTACGTTTGAGAGTGGTCTCTGAGTATATGTATAGTAGATGTCTACTGGTTCTTATTAGTGAAGCAGACAGCAATTGAATAATTACTGATAAACAGTAATTTTTAAGGTTCAGTTACCTAACTCAAAGGCTCTTAAATTTGTCTGTAATACTGGACTAGTTAACCGGGTAGATCTCTTATGTGATTAAATAATTCCATTAACACAGTAACAATAAAAGTACAATTCTTCGAGTAACATTCCATCAGTACACCATGCAATAGGAAGCCTAGAAATCACAAGCAATGGAATGATGGCAAATGTTAAAATTACTGTAATTCCATGAGGCCAGAAAGCAAATGACTTATATTCAAAGAGACAGCTTAGCTCTGTGACAATTTTTTCAGATACTGTAAAATCCAAGTGATTCTTAAGCACGTGCTTTTTCAAAAGCATGGATGGAATGGGGGCTGCATGCCTGGCAAGCACCATTGGAGAAAGTGCCTGAGGACCAAAGGGCCCTTCCAGAGAACGTCTCCCAGTAAAAACATGCGCAATGCAAGGCCATATCATCTGTGCTGACACGGCTTTAGGATGTGGTGGGCAAAATGAAAGGAGGGGAGAGAGAAGATGAGGCAAAGTCAGTCATGTGTTTAAATTTTCTCACCTGGAATTACAGAGATAGTTTTCAAAGCTCGGAGAACCCTGAATGTTCTCAGCGCTGAGACATTGCCCAGGTCCACAAACTCTGTCACATATCTGTAGTAAGGGAGGTCACACACAGACACAAATGACAAACACAGACACAAACACAAACACCAAAAGGAAAAAACACAAAACCACAACAAAACAAAAAGTACAATACGTCACGTCAAGGCCCTAACCCAACACCTAACACCAAACCCGGGCCATCTTACCTGGGATTACCGAAATAGTTTTCAAAGCCCTCAGTACCCTGAAAGTGCGCAGAGCTGAAACATTGCCTAGGTTTACAAACTCTGTTATATACCTGCAGAATCAAACCAAAGTTAACTTGTAATGGTGCTGCTGGGCGAAGGTTTGAGAATGGGGGGGAAAGAAAGGGTCTTATACACAAGCTATGATTTCATTTTTTTTCCTTGAAAAAAGAAAAGTTTCAAAATATAAACATTTAAGAAACACATCGCTAAAACCTGGGCAAGAAGAATTTAAAAGCATATTTGAAAGAACTGACACCACCAGGAGAGTCCTGGGGCTCACTCTCAGCCAGCACTGTGACGTGCAGGTCGGAATCAGAACGACTGCTCTCAGGCCGTTTGCTTTTTTTAATGAAAAGGAAGGCTGGGAGGTATCAGAGGCTTATGCCCCCAAGTTCTGTGAATAATTTCTTAGGAAAAGGAGACAAGTTTCTGTAGCAGGAGCCCCACAGAAACAAATATCCATTAAAATAACTCCTTAGCTGACAAAGGCAAAAGTGTTTAAATGCCTGTACACGACTTAGCCAAAAGCCATACGCGTATCTTTGCAGTCAGGCCTACAGATGAAGCTTTAGCCTGTGACATACAAAAGGGGGGGCTCAGGAAAATCCAAATTATCAGAGAAAATATGATGCTAAATGCCCATTTTATCACCAGCTCTGTGCCAAGCAAGGACACTTAAATTTCAAATGAACACCAATATGTTCATTTTCTTAATGCTGGAAAGCTAGAAATTGCCTTAATATAACAGAAAGTCAAAGTTCCAGTTTCAAATATTCAACACACATCATTCATTCACATTTTGTGGTTCAAATTCGTCATTCTCTCTGATGCTCAGACCCATACGCATACTCAACCTCTTACACACCTGCATGCACACACCCAAACCCACATACAGTCTATACAACACCCTCCTCCCTACCGAACCTCCGAGTGCTCTCCCAGCCTGGAAATAAACATAATAAAGTCTGCTACAACTCGTCTGTCATTAGCTAAGTTTTCCAGAGATCCATTTTTATTGTTACAACAACAGAAATTACCAGCGGCAACTCGTATACCGATGCGGAGTTATACTGCTCTCTAGCAACAGTTTGAAGTGCTGGTCAGTAATTCTTTAGAAGCAATCAGTGTGGAGACCTTCACTCATGTTTTGATTCTAAAATGTGCTCTGACGTCTGCAACAGCTGGCCAGCCTCATGAAATTACAAGAAAATGGATTTTCAGTTTAAGGTATACGCCTATGAAATTTCAAGTCTTCACTGAGGCCCCCTAGTGATAAGTGTGCAAACCTTGGTCAATGTTATGAGGAAGTAGGAAATACGAGACAGTGTCATTGGGAAATCACCTCCTACTTCCTCCCCAGCGGTAAAGCCTCCGCTTACCTCCTCCCACGTAACCCTGCTGTCGCTGCCTAAACAAAAGGCCCTCACAAGCAGGAATCACCGTCATGAACCCATACGGCCTTACATGGTTATCTGCCAATCCCTCATGCAACTGTGCTCACACTCACACTTCCACTGTCGTACTAACACCCAGGAGTACAACCGCCCATAACTGCGCCCAGAACACCAACAAAAGTGAGCAGAGAACTTACGCCATCATGATGACGCTGAAATCTAACCAGTTCCATGGATCTCGTAAAAAGGTAAAGCCATCTATGCAGAAGCCTCTTGCAATGATTTTCACTAGTGATTCAAATGTATAAATCCCTGTGAATGTGTACCTGTGGAGGAAATGGATAGCTTGAGGTAATTGCCGAACAGACAGAAACTTCACGTGAATCTTCTAAGATAACACCTGCCTGAAGTGTGGCTTCGACCAACAGAAATGAAACAGAGAGGGCACGGCCAGTGCAGCAAGATGGAAGGAGAAAGGGATGCTTACTGAAACGCACAAACCGAGAACTCTGGAATACTGTTTTGGGTCCTGACAGGTATTACAGAGAAATACCTCTGCACTGCCTTCTAGTACGTGATCATTTCAAACCAGGGGAGGCAGCCCCAGAGTTATTTTTAACTGTAGACAAGTCAAAATGAGGGGAAAAGTAGAAACAGAGAAGGCAGTACTGTCAGGAACTGAGGGCAGAAGACAGTGATGTGGCAACAAGTCAAAAGCACCGGCTAGCACAGGAAGAGATGGGGGTGAAGGGCAGAAACTCCCAGGGCCTACTCTCTCCCTTCAGAGTTGACTACTGGGAGTCCCCAAACCCCACATGTATGTATCTTTGCCCCACTCTGTGAAATAAAGAGTAGGCATAATCGATTTTCTCCCTTGATGGATCAACTGTGACAAATCAAGACTCGGTGACTAAAAGTGAACCAAACAAGCAGGCAGAAAAACAAACGAGTTACTTACTCCACATTCTTCGACCACTCAGGAGGGTTACTAAAAGTCATGAATACACAGTTGGTCAAAATAGTGCACATAATGATCATGCTAAATACTGTAGAGAAGAGTCAAGGGAGAATACACAAACTCTTACTTTACCCCTCAGAAAACAAACATGTCACATTGGGTACCGTGAGATCTAACTCAATAACCTGAAGGAGGCAAAGCGCAGAAGAGGAGGAAAAGACGAGGCGACGATAAAAACTGGTCACCACAGAGCTCCACCACGTGTACCCACACACGAGGGAGAGGTGTGGGGGAGGACAGCAGGAGGTCCACTGGTTTTCAGAAAGGCTGTCCTTAATCCTCTCCTTCTGGATAAAACTTTTGCCCCTCTTGCAACTTTCACCTCAAGTGTAGAATAAGCTAAATTTAATCGGCATTACTTAGTGCTTATTTATTAAGTTAACTATCTTACATAACTAATTATTTGAAAATCTACATGTAATTAATGGTTCACCATCCCCCTCCCCCGCCCCCAGTCCTCCAAAATGCTGAACTGCTCTTGGGGGCAAGGACGTAGCCAATGTGTGCTGAATTTACCCAGTTGGGAAGACCTGTTGTGGCATGTTGGGTCAGGCTCTCAAAAGACATCCACACCACCATATTCCCGAGAGTGAGGTGATGGGGCAAATTCATCTGATCATTCTCAAAGTGCCCCGGAATATTTATGGAGAGTAAACCACTTTGTTGCCATTTCAGTTTCATCCATGACCTTTCTCCACTCGTTCTGCTCTTGTCCACTGAAAAAAATCAAACTGCTCTAGGTCAGTATGAGTTACTCAAACACAACTGTCACTTTAACAAGCATGGAAGCCATATCTCATTTATTGCTAACTCACTCTCTTTTGCTAATGGCATTCACTATCTTCATTCTACTAGTGGCATTTTAAAAATTAAAAGTACTTCATATAGCTGGATTTTTCCTCAGGGAATAACAACATGTTCTGGTTAGAAGAGAAAAAACACTCCATCTCCTGATCCAATAAAAAGGGAAGCCATCCATTGTGAATTATTTATTTCCTGGTAAACCTTCAGATTTCAGAACTATGTTGCTTATAAACCACAGATTTCACAAACAGGTTGCTAAATTCTTTGAGTTAATAGAATGTGGTGAAAGCTTGGCAAACCAATTTACCAAGTTGCAACTGCTTGTTTCCTCAGCCTACTTGTAGGATACAACACACATCAAGGCATGGGACTAAGTACTGTCAAATTAAATACCAACCATGAGAGTTTAAAGTCACCATGCAAAGCTCCTACCTCCATCACATCATTTTTCATCTGCCGTATGCTTTCCTATATTAATAAGATGTGAAACTCAGGCCACATGAATAAATTGGACATTTTCTGTTTCATGGGAGTAAAAATACCAGAAAAGATTTATAGCCATCATGCAATCTAAATCTAAACCTCTGTACCAGGGAGGCCATTTATCCTGAGAAACTATCTCAAATACATTCCAAGCTCACTGTTCAAGAAATAAAAAATATTCAAGGAAGGCCTCTAATTCATTCAACAACTTGTAATTCAAGAAGTAGCTTTCAAAATATTCTGATATTGGACTAAAAACCTGAATAATCTGCCTCAGGGTGAAATTACTAAAGTCTGAACACTTTAAAAATAAGACTTTAGTAAAAGGTCACCACTTAATTTGACCCTCTACATGATACTAACAAAATCCCAAACCCCCATGATATCATCCTAAGAAAAAAGAATTTGCTGATGCCCACAACTCCGGATTTGGTAGGTGTCCACTCCTAAACCTCTGACCGGTAGGACAGTCAACTACACTATTGGTAAAATGCAATTTAGACATATACATCAGTGATCATGCAATTGCTACACTCACTCCACATTTGCAGAAAAGGATATGAATGTATCAAAATTTTAATAGCAATTCTTCTTATCAGGTTAAAAGGACTTAAAATGTACAAGGCAGGCGTGGCACTAAATCTGAAGAGAGTTTTCCCTCTGTTTAATACTACAAAGGTCTGTGGAAAAAGAAAAAGAGAAATTATTAAAGCACTGGCATTAATCACATAAAACAACATTTTTCTAAGAAAGAAATAACTCAAATGTATTATAAGTTTTTACTTTCCATTTGGTTTCTATGGCAAGCAACCTTAGGGCAATACACCTTTCTTTCCCTAACCTCTACCCACCCCTACCCCTGTCCTAAACTGCATCACAAATTGATGGCACTATTTTAGCAGTTTTACAGAATAAACTTATTTCTTTTGGAAGCAAAGCAGCTGAACCCTACCTAAGCTATGTATGCCAGCTCTGACAAGATACTAAAGTTCATTAATTTAGGATTCATTTACTCAACAAATGAGTAAATGTGTCACGCAATGTCCTAGCTGCTTAACAAATATCAGTGAACAAGGCTAACCTGGTTGGGAAGCTTATATTCCAAAGGGGAAGGTGACAATAAATAAAAACATGACAAAAGAGTAAATTACATCGAATGTGACATGTTCAATGGGAAAAGGAGGAAGGTCAAGGACAGGGAGATGGAGAATGCCGGGACAAGGAGGTGGGTGAGTGGGGAAGTGACGGTTTTCAAGGAGGGGGTCAGGGCAAACCTGCGGAGAAGAGAGGCTGGAGCAAAGACTGGAGGGAAGTGAGACGAGCTCTGCATCCCACCAACGTCTACCTACCGAGTCTGCTCCGTCTGGCTTTTTGAGAGCCCCCATCGCCCGCCTTGCCAAAACCATTCAACCGTATTTCCCAGCACAAATCTTCCTGTCTTGCCAAACTGGCTCATGCTCCAGTAATTCATGACTTTGGCCTTTGCACACATGCTCATCCTACCCAGAGTACCCTTTCTAGTCTCACGAATTCAATTTGATTAAAATGTTCTTTAGCACTGATTTTGTGTGAAGCATTGTGCTAAGCTCCCGGGATACAAAACTGAACAAAACTATTTTTAGGGAAGACATATGTGTAAACTAGTAGCTATGACGCAGGGTAAATAACAAAAATATACATAATATATGATAAGCAGCAGAGAGATTTCTCCCCCCTTGGGTGGGGAATAAAAGGGAGAAGGCTGAGCTGAAAGATGTCCACAAAGGAAGGCAAATGATATCTGGGAGGGGTTTAAAAGGATAAGTAAAGATGAAGACATATTAATTGGTCAGATAAAGGGGGAAGGAATGGCAAAGAAAGGGGGCAGCATAGAGTGGACAACGGCACAGCAGCATACAATTGTGGGTTGTTTTTAGGGAACTGACAAGTAATTCCGTGTTGATGGAGGACAAAATAGAGGAGGGGAGCAGTGGACTGTGAGGCTAGAGGGAGACGCAGGAACCTACTACACGGTGATTCCTCAGGAGACAGGCCGGGACACGGCCCCAGCACCTCACTGTGTGAGTAAAATGGCAAATGGTCAAATGCTAGCTCTTTTAAATAGTTTCAAAAAATTTTTAAAGCATGCATGCACATATTTTTAAAAAGAAACATAAAACAAAAAGTTCCATCTCATTATGCAAAGATAACCTTTGTTAATTGTTTATCTTTTCAGAACTTTTCTTTGTAAATATAAACACACAGATACAGCTTTAAAGAGATTTCCCCTCTCTTTCAAATGGAATTGTACTATAAATACCATTCTACAACTGACATTAAAAAATGAACCTCCAGGACTTCTGGCCAAGATGGAGGCGTAGTTACACATACTGTGCCTCCTCGCACAATCAAAAGAAGGACAGCAACAAATTTAAAAACAAAAAACAACCAGAACTGACAGAAAATTGAACTGTATGGAAGTCCGACAACCAAGGAGTGAAAGAAGAAACGTTCATCCAGACCAGTAGGAGGGTGGAGACAGGCAGCCGGGCGGAGAGGACTGTGGCAAAGGCAGCAGCTGGAGAACAGGGTGGTCCCACATTTGTGCGCAGATAAACTGGGGGGAACAACTGGGGAGCGGGACAGACTGCACAACCCAGGGCCCCAGCTCAGGGAAATAAAACCTCAAATCCTCTGACTGAAAACTCCTGTAGGGGTTTAGGCGGCAGCAGAAGATACTCCCAGCCTCACAGGAGCGTTCGTTGGAGAGACCCACAGGGTCCTAGAATGTATACAAACCCACCTACCCAGGAATCAGCACCAGAAGGGCCCAACTTGCTTGTGGGAAGCCGGGAAGTGACTGAAATCCGACAGAGAGCGGAGCAAGGGCCTTTGTTCCCTCTCAGGCCCCTCCCCCCCACACAGCGTCACAACTCAACCAGGAGGGTTGCTCCGTCCTGGTGAACACCTAAGGCTCCGCCCCTCACTACATAACAGGCATGCGGAGACACATAAGAAAATGGCCCAAATGAAAGAACAGATCAAAGCTCCAGGAAAAATACAACTAAGCGATGAAAGAGACAGCCAACCTATCAGATGAACAGTTCAAAACACTGGTAATCAGGATGCTCCAGGAACTCATTGGGTACTTCAACAGCAAAAAAAGATCCAGGCAGCAATGAAGGTTGCATTATGTGAAATAAAGAAAAATCTACTAGGAAACCAACAGTGATGGGAAGGAAACCAGGGCTCAAATCAATGGTTTGGAGCAGAAGGAAGAAAGAAACATTCAACTAGAGCAGAATGAAGAAACAAGAATTCAAAAAAATAAGGAGAGGCTTAGGAACCTCCAGGACATCTTTAAACGTTCCAACATCTGCATAAGAAGGGTGCTAGAAGGAGAAGAAGATGACCAAGAAGTTGAAAACTTACTTAAAAAAAATAATGAAGGCAAATTTTCCCAATCTGGCAAAGGAAATAGACTTCCAGGAAGTCCAGGAAGCTCAGAGAGTCCCAAAGAAGTTGGACCCAAGGAAGCACACACCAAGGCACATCATCATTACATTAGCCAAGATTACAGATAAGGAGAGAATCTTAAAAGCAGCAAGAGAAAAGGAGATAGTTACCTACAAAGGAGTCCCCATAAGACTATCAGCTGATTTCTCAAAAGAAACCTAACAGGCAAAAAGAGGCTGGAAAGAAGTATTCAAAGTCATGAAATGCAAGGACCTACATCTGAGATTACTGTATCCAGCAAAGCTATCATTTAGATTAGAAGGGCAGATAAAGTGCTTCCCAGATAAGGTCAAGTTAAAGTTCATCATCACCCAGCCCTTATTATACAAAATGTTAAAGGGACTTATCTAAGAAAAACAAGATGATCAAAAATATGAACAGTAAAATGACAACAAACTCACAACTATCAACAACTGAATCTAAAAAAAAATAAACTAAGCAAACAACTAGAACAGGAACAGAATCACAGAAATGGAGATTAATTATATGGAGGGTTATCAGTGGGGAGGTAGAGGGGAGAGAATAGGGGGAAAGGTACAGGGAGTAATTGGTAGGCACAAAGTAGGCAGGGGGAGGTTAAGAATCATATAGGAAATAGAGAAGCCAAAGAACTTACATGTATGATCCATGGACACGAACTAAGGAGGGGAGGATGTGGGTGGGAGGTAGGGTGCAGGGCAGAGGGGAATAAAGGGAGGGATAATGGGACAACTGTAATAGCATAATCAATAAAGTATATTTTTTAAAAAGGTACTTATCAGTTTGAAGATTCCAAGGGTTTTAGGAGTTGTTTCCAGAAAGTGGGGGTGGGGTGGTGGTGAGGAGGGGAAAGGGTGGGACTGATGGGGGGGGGGCAGAAACCAAATATGTATTTCTTATTATGTCACAGGCATGTTCAAAGAGTTCTAATAGGAGTACTAAGGGGAGATTGTGGTGGAAACGCCTAAGCAGCCTGCGTGTCAGCAGCACTTGGAGCAAAGTAGGTGTTAGCCAGATGAAGGTACAATGAGTAAAATGTACTAAGCAAATGGAACAGTATGTGCAAAGACTCAGGAAAGAGAGAGAAAGCTGGATGCTAGTCCTAGAATTTAAAGCAGTTCAACCTGGCTATAGAATAATAGGAAGCGAGGGAGCAGAAACAGATCACCTAAAAAAATTGATAAGATCGAGATGACGGAAGGCCTGGAACACCTCTCTCAGGGATCTGCTCTTTATTCCATGGGCAACTGAATGACTTTTTAATGATTTTGCTTCAGATGTTCTCTTTATAAAGACTGTCTTTTTATTAAATATGATGACTATTTGAAAACACCTACAAATCTTTATAGATATAGATAAAGTAAATATGGCTAAATATTAACAACTGTAAACATTTGTTACTGAGCTTCTAAGTATACTAATGTTTACTATTCTATCATTTGGGTAACTTTTATGTATGATTTTTTTTGTAATAAAAAATTTAGGGAAAAAAATAATCCAATCTAAAAATGAGCAAAGCATTTGAATAGACATTTCTACAAACCAGATAATACAAAAAGCAAATAAACACATAAGATGTTCAACATCGTCAGTCATTTGGGAAATGCAAATAAAATCACAACGAAATACTACTTCATACCCACTAGGATGGTTATAATATTTCAAAAAGTGGAAAATAACAAGTAATGTCAAGGATATAAAGAACTTACAACCTTGACACACTACTGATAGGAAAGTGAACTGGTGCAACCACTTTGGAAAAATAGTTTGGCAGTTCTTCAAAAGTTAATCATAGACCCTGGCTGGTGTGGCTCAGTGGATTGAGTGCCAGCTTGCAAACCGAAGGGTCGCAGGTTGGATTCCCAATCAGGGCACACGCCTGGGTTGCAAGCCAGGGCCCCTGTGGGGGGCGTGCAAGAGGCAACCACATAGTGATGTTTCTGTCACTCTTTCTCCCCCCCTTTCCCTTTTTAAAAATAAATAAATAAAATCTTTTTAAAAAGTTAAACATGGAGTTGCATATAACTCAGCAATTCTACTCCTAGCTATATACTCAGGAGAATGGAAAACAGGTGTTCATACCAAAACTTATACATAAATATTCATAAAAGCATTATTCAGAATACCCCCAAAATGAAAATAACCCAAGTGTCTACCAACTGACAAATGGATAAACCAAACGCAGTATATCCATATAATGGAATAT